ACTCTTTCAAGTGGCATTTTCATTCTTTTTCTGTTGAGAAAATAGCTTCTTCAACAGATAAATCAGAAGAACTATTGGAAATCCATGTCTATTGTTTTCAGATTTGAAAGAATTACATACCTAAACTACACGCCAGGTATCTCAGTTATCAGTACAAAAGGCCAAGTGGGATTTACTAGCACTGTAGACAAAGGGGTGGCTATGGTTCTTATCAGATATGTCACGTAAGACATTGTAAGCATCCATGATTTTCTGAAAATTTTACATTAGTCTTAGGCCTGGACAGGATTTATGTGTTGCAACTCAACAAAGCTCCTGAAAGGTCAAGTTCATATCGCTGTGACAGTGTACACCAGCTGAGGATGTGGTACGTTTGAGAAGGGGCAAGTAGCATGTTCCCATATCTTGTAATTCGTATGGCTGAATTGAAAGAGTAGTCTTTTACTATTTGGTTGAGAAAAAGAAGCACCTTCTTAAGGTGACCTGAGTTTTGTGCCTAGGTTAATGTGGAGGGAATAGCCCCATGGTTTTAATTTCTTTTTGTTCTTTTCCCCTTTGGAGGAAGGTGACTGCTTAACAAAAACCCAAAAACACACTTTTGTGTTTCCGTTGAACACTGCAAGATGAGTTCCCTCAGAGCATTGAGCCAAACTCAGACACTTATAAAATGGACACAGAGAAATTAATTTGAGGTATTTTTGGTAATGATCTGGAAGAAAACATGAAATAGCATTGCAGAGTTCCCTGATGGCATGCAGACTGGGAGAACAGTAGTCAATAAAGGACATGAGCAATAGTTTTCTCAGTGAACAGTGTAGCCAAACGTAAGCCATGCTTCTAAGTGATGTTGTCCATCTGTACATGCTGGGAAGAGCAGTGACTCTGATGAGGATTTGACTCTTGCAACAGATGTTAGGATGGATTAATAGAACAGCAGAAAGAGATGCTGCAGCTAAAAGAACTAAGTAGAGATGTTAGGTACTTGAGTAAGATCTACAGGGAATTGTTAAATCCACAGTCCCAGCACGATGGGTGACATAAGAAACACTGCAGAAGCTTCAGAGAAGGACCATGAAATAATTCAAATCTCATAGCAGAAAAGTTATGGCTGGTAATGTATTAGTACTATCAAATGGAAGGATTCGGTAGTGATTTGTTCAGTGTCTATGTACCTGTGTGGTAACAGAAGGTTATCCCATATAGCAGGCAAAGATACAATAAGATCCTATGTTACACTTAAATTAGATAAAAATCATCATTATTTCTCTGACTTGTTTAAGGTGAAGATAAGTAGCTATTGAAACAGCTTAGGAAAAGGTTTTGCCTTCCCATTACTACAAAATATTGAAAGGTACAAAAGGTCAAAAGGCCTGAAGAGCTTTGTAATTTTTCCAGCATGTTAAGTGATCAACGAAGTCTCACAAAACATTAGATGAACAAATGTTCATAATGTTCCCTAAGTCAGAGCAAGCTCCGGCTTGTCTTGTAAAGGGAATATGATGGAATATAGTTCTTAATCAGATATACTCTGAAAATACACGTAGTGTATATATGCATATAGGTACTAGTGCAAATGCACTTAAAGAAAGACAAGATGATAGGGACTGGTAATATTTTTGTTAAATAAACCTCTCTACTGTTACAACATGTAGTTGTAAGTGTTTTCATAGGAAGAGATAACATAGCTTGCCCAGTATATAATTCGAAGGGGTTGTGTCAAGGTTTGTTAACATTTGAGTAGTGTTGAGTGAAGTCCAGTTGTACTATTGTACGTCCTCTTTACTACTTCATGTTCATAAATAGATATTTTGCTATCAGCTGATGAGGTTGATCTCAATTTCCCACATGGTTCTTCATTTGTCCTCCGTGCATCCCATGTGTGTCCAAGTACCTCCTTTTTATATCTGTGCAGCAGAAAAGAGAGATTAGTCTGGCACTGGCTGCACGTAATGCAACTCCCTGATATTCTTATTCATAGGGGTTTATCTTGGGTAGTCTAGGTGTCTGTTTCCAAAGTTTAAAGAAATGCATTATTTTATCCTTGAGAGGAGCATTTTTATGTCAACTAGGGGATTCAACCCTTGTGACTATATCTGAATTGAGAACTATAGCACTGTAGGGGTTAGTTGGATGTGATAGGTATATTTGCAGTGATTCAAAGAAGCAGCATCGTATTTGTACTTGGTCAGCCTTCCTCAAAGCCCCTTGTACTTTTAGCAGGAAGATGAACTTGGTGTAAGTTTGTAAGAAAGATTTCATAAAGCTGTAATTTTGTTTTTTTCTTTTCTTTAGGTAAAGGAGCATATTTTTCAAACAGCATAATGAAAGTGGCATGTGACACATTACACCTGTGTTGTTTCAAGCCAGAAAAGTAGACGTTTAGACCAGTTTCAGTGTGTTTTCATGCAGCATAATGCTTAAACAGTGTAATGCTCAAGCCTTGTAGACAAGACCAAATGTAAAGAACTTTGAGGAGTGAAGGGGCTAAATATGCCTCAGGAAGTCGTAGTGAGACTTTGTTAATGTCGCATATATGTTGAACAAGCTGGAAGAGGGTGTAATATGCGTCATCTTAGACCTCATTTAATCTCATTTGGACTCTGCATTGAATTTGGTCTTGTCTCAATGAAGTACTGTATTTGCTATGAAAGAATCAAAACAAGTCCATGAATGAAAGAAACCCTGACCCTACTGAAATCAGAGACAAAACTTACATTGAGAGCCGGGATTTCATCTCACATGCCTAGAATTTTTCAGAGGCATTCAAGAATATTGCAAAGCCCCCTTAAGATTTCCACATAAAACAAGCTCCAAAGTAATGTGTATTCCTCTGCTCACAGACCTTCCCATAAGGAATCTACCCACCTTCATAGTGAATTTTGCTTTGGTTTTCACATGTTCCTGCTTTTCTTCCCTGAGGAAAGTCTTTGAAATCAAATGCTCTCTGTGTGTGATAACTATTTCCAGGGTTTTGTGGATGCAGCTGAAAGCTCTGCTCTGGAAAACAGCCATGCTTTGGCTGCTTCATGACTTTCAGTTTTGTGCTGGAAATGTGAGCTACATATCTGGACAAGGTGATGAATTAGAGTTTGGCAAAACATGAATATGACTTCGGGTTTCAGGTGCCATTGAGTTCTTTATCCTCTGTCTGTTCAGAAGTAGAGCAACGAAATTGCAAATTGACAGAAGGCTCAGCGTTCGTTGCACATGGGGTTTTTGGCCTGATTCTGTGAACTTAGCTTGTGAATCACACTGTGAGCCCACTGGTGAACACTTCAGAAAGCAGCAGGAACCTACATTACGCTGTGCTGTGCGTAGGCAAGCAATTATATTCCTGACTGCTGGGGGAACCTGCTTAACAAATCGAACTATAGAAAATGGGAACTACCTGATGGAGCAAACAGAATGAAAGAAAAAAAGCCTCTGAATTTTACTTCTGAGGCTGCTGTGCTCAAGGGATTGATTTTTATATTAAACTTACTCTGTTATCTCTTAACATCCCCCACCCACCTACCCACACGCATGTTCAACTTCATGCCAGGGCTGTGGGATCTAGTTTTTCCTAGTGGTGGCAAACTGGAGTGCTCTTGCTGCTTTGTGGAGCTAACACTAGTTATGGCATATCTGAGATAGTAAGGGAAAATCTCCTGTGCAGGCACAGCAAGGAACCCAAATTCAGAGCGTGCACAGCCCCTACTTTTATGTAAAGCTGCCAGCAGGCCAGCCATGAGGCCCTGGGAGGCAGGTACAGGCAGGCTAGCAGCTCTGCTTTCCTGTGTGTGTCTGCACATTCCACGGATGTTGGCAATGCTTTCATAAATTGTGGGTGATTTTACAGCTGCATCTGAAGCACTTAAGCCTCATTATGAGAGTGGGCTCCTCAGGGATGATCTAATGAGAATCTAAGTAGATGTACCATTCCCTCCTGCAGTGGTTGGAGGTAATGAGGCTGCCATCCTAGAAAGTGTAAAAGGAGAGTTATTTGTCAGTACTAGTCAGAGTCATTAGGAAGAGAGAGGCTGCACAGGAACCCCAGGAAATACAAGCCAACGGAGACATCTGTAAAGCAACATGTACAGGATGATGCCATGCAAATTGTCTGCCTAGTACTGTATGCATTATACAACACTAGCAGTTCTCTCTGTGTACCAGATACAAGATTAACCTGCATACATTTTATGGATGTGAACATACTTAGTTGTGTCTAGTTGAGATAAAGAGAGGGGGTATAAGAAGGGTTTCTTCTCTGTATTTGTAGTGGTGGTGATAGAGGCATTGTAAATTGAACATGCCCACGTTTTGACCAGCAATTCCCAACAGGTAAAATGTACTTGTGACTCCTCGGTTGTGACAAGTCCACAGGTCAATAAATACCTTTTGATTTTCTCTTTCATTGAATATACTAATTGCTAATGGAAGCAGAAAGGCAGAATAACATGTCTATAAAGGTTATAAATTTTAGAATTAACTATATCTTAAGGCTATCTCAATATTGATTTTTTTTTTTCCCTCTATAAAACAATGATTTTGTGGACAAGTAACTCATAATTTCTCAACAGAAACAAAAGACGTAAGTAAAATCAGCTTAACCAAGTTAGCTGTTTCACCATCACAGTATCTCAAAGTCTGGACAAGTAGAACACAATATTGGAATTGCCAAGTAAAGGGCTATAGACTGAGATATGATGATATTGTTTTAACTACTAATTCATACTGCTTTTCAGAGTTAGTAAACCTAGCAGTTACTGTTACCTGGCCAGAAGCTCAGTATCACTGCACCCAAAACAGAAACCCACCATCAACACATGTGGTTGAAAGAACTTCTTGTAATTTAGGGCTGAAATATCTAAATGGTAAATATAGAATTTTGCACATGCATTCTTCCGGACAATTTTTGTACAGCCAAGTCCCCTGAACTGTGCATGTGATTTTTAAAGCCTGTATGTGCAGATGGATTAACTTGTATACTGGCAGAGGCCTGTATGGCACATTTCTCTCAGCGAGGTTTTTAAAGAGCATTTTTTTTCTCCCTTTTGGTGCTTTTTGGATTGGCAGATGACCATTCAAGTAAAAGAGGAATTTTTGTGTAAAGTGTAAAGAAAACTTTCCCCACCTGCCACTTAAATATATAACTAAGTGTGCTGAGTCCAAGGTTTTGGGTCCTCTAATGGAACATAGGAAACCTGTAGCTGAAAGGATGCCTGCGGTTTCTTTTTTATTGTGTTTTATAACCCACCTGTACTTGTCCCCCTCCCTTTTTTTTTCTTGCTTTGTTAATCAGCTTTTCTAGATTTTTTTAAGCCCTTGTGCATACCTGAAAAATAGAAGGGGTTGTTTGCTCCCCCACTTTTCACTGTTGTGGTCACCCACACCCATGTAAAATAAGCACCCACGTGGAAGGCTTTTGCTCGTGTGAGTTTTCACTAGTGTGAAGAATGGCACAAAAAGGCAGCAACATTCTTTTATGGTACACATGCAGTCGTGTGTTTGGATATCTGACTGTTAAGTCTTGATACTTGGGGATCAACCAGCATAGTTCCGCAACAGCCCTCTTGCCCTGACAGACACGGAAACTTGCAGGGTCATTGAATTGCTGTGGTGGATTGTTGGGAGGCAAAGAAATAGTCCTGGTGAGAGTAATCCTACAAATGGAACAAACTGTGTGTGTGAAGTGGAACTTAAGTTTTTAGACATTAGATTCAGATTGGCTAAATCAGCAGTGGTAAAGTGTTGTTACCAGAGCCAAATTTGGCATTGACAGAGATTTGGGGTGGCACCAACAATATGGGTGCAGCCCATTGCTTTACAAATTATTTTGCCATATCAACAATTTCCTACCAGAGAGCAA